ATCAGTACGATGACTTGGTCGGCACCTCATAAAAACGTAAGGATCGGTGTCGGCCAGGATCAGTACGATGACCTGGTCGGCACCTCATAAAAACATAAGGATCGGTGTCGGTCAGGATCAGTACGATGACTTGGTCGGCACCTCATAAAAACGTAAGGATCGGTGTCGGCCAGGATCAGTACGATGACCTGGTCGGCACCTTATAAAAACATAAGGATCGGTGTCGGCCAAGATCAGTACGATGACCTGGTCGGCACCTCATAAAAACATAAGGATCAGTGTCGGCCAGGATCAGTACGATGACCTGGTCGGCACCTCATAAAAATGTAAGGATCGGTGTCGGCCAGGATCAGTACGATGACCTGGTCGGCACCTCATAAGAACATAAGGATCGGTGTCGGCCAGGATCAGTACGATGACCTGGTCGGCACCTCATAAAAACATAAGGATCGGTGTCGGCCAGGATCAGTACGATGACCTGGTCGGCACCTCATAAAAACGTAAGGATTGGTGTCGGCCAAGATCAGTACAAAGACCTGGTCGGCACCTCATAAAAACATAAGGAGCAGCGTCGGCCGGTATCAGTACGATGACCTGGTCTGAAGTGACAAGTGAGTGCCGAGCTCAATCACGAGCTCGGCGCCGTAACTAATGACGACGAGCCTGATTACGAGGCTCGACCCAAGTGAAAAATGTGTCGAGCTAAGTCATGAGCTCGGCACTGCGAGTAATAGCGCCGAGCCCGATCTCGGGACCCAGCCAACAAAAAAATCAACAATCATAAAACATTCGAAAAGCATAAATATATTTAAAAACCAGGGCGGCACAATCAAAATACTTTGTTTAAAGTTGGCGAAAACCGAATACAAAATCCAGACTGCACCCGGTCAATCCAACGGCACGCAGGCCGGTAAATAAACAAAAGACTATGGACTCGATTCTGAGGGCCGCTCCTCAAGCGCAATCTCGGCCTCCTTACCCACGCCGGAAGTGTCGGCCTCGCCCTCACCCGCCTTCTTTGCCTCCTCGGCCTCGACCGCCGCCTTCGCCGCTTCTTCGGCTTCCTCCATATCGTCGACTACCATCAGGACGGCTCCTCGGCGAGGTTGGAATTCAGGATCAGGATCGGCAGCGGGCAAGAAAGGCTCATACTCCGGCAGCAACTCCCCCAGCGCAAGCCGCCACGTCACCGAGCACGGGATGGCGCCGAGCCCTTGGAAGCCCAAAACCACGTCATGGGCCCAGCCCTTAAGTCGGCGGACCACGGTAGCCTCGTCCTCGTCGACCTCACAGACGAGCCCCTCGCATTCGACCCCGAGCCTCGCCGCCTTCTCAATGAGGATCGTGTGGAAGTCTTCGAGAGAGAGCACCCCGACGTCGAGCCGCTGAAACAACCAATAGAGATTGAAGACGGCCGACCTGTCCATGCATTCCCTTATGTCCTCGAAATACTTGACAGAGACTTCCGCAAATGTCAGGGGCGGGGGCAGGGCGATGGGTTCTCCGTCTATCTGCTTGGCAGCCTCCTTCAAGAGGCAGACCTGGGCAGACATTCGGTTGCCGTAGTCAACA